CATCCCTAGAGAGACATGTAGCTTTCGTAGAAATTAAAGAGAGAAACGTGTGTTATTTATGTCATTTTATTTCAAAAATGGGAAAAATATTTAAAGTTATGGTGAAACTAAAAAAAATTGAGGTGGCCATATTATGTTTCTGAAAGTAGAAGGATAATGTCATAAAATATAGAATAAGAACACTGTGTGGCACAATTTGTTCAAACTTCAAATTCATTTTAAAAAGCAATCCTTGTGAATGTTTAGTTGTAGCAGCCACCAAGCTTGAGAGAGCTCTTAGCTAAATGATGACCGTCCAGTAGGCACTTTCGGATCTGGTTCATGAATCCACTCTCTATTTTGACTCGCCCTTAATCCTTTTGCACTTTGTGGCATCTTTTTAGAGAAGATGTAAAGAGGGCATTAACCCGACCCCCAAAAGTACACAGACGAGCGGGGGAAAATATATGTAGAAGATAAACTTCATTTATGACTATACATTCTAGGTTAGGTACTACCTTCGCTACCAAAGAATCAAAAGGATCTCATACCAAATTTTGCCAACAAACATATGTAAACGGAAGTGCATAATGCGCATGAAAACTTGTTTATTTAGCATTTGAATCTCATGAATAATAACCTGCAAATCCCACAATGCGATGATGAAATCATTATCATACAGTAATGGAATAACGCGAACTGGATAGTCGCGAAGAAACTCTCTCTCAGCTGTCTCACTAGAGTTTCTTCTGCCACAGTGTTTGGTTTGACAGTATCAAATGTAGACTTCAGAGGCTTTGCCAATAAGGTCAAGAAAAGTAGAAAGTCATCCTTCATCAAAAATCAAAGTTCCTGCAATAAAATTCTCAATCAATACACGATCTTAGTACCTTCCCATATCCAATTTAATGTCTGTAGACTAATGACTAGGATGTAACATTATCGCATTAAAACTCCGACTGCCATAAACTTTACCACTCATAGCATGGTATGCTGATAGTATCTCACAGAGGTAACAAGAAAACATTAAAACAAAGAAAAATGATAATGGATTGTGAACCTATAGAAAGGTTGAGCAGTTAAATTTGAACTGATAAGATTTTGAAGTTACTCCAATATTGATAGAATAAATAAACTCTATAGGCATGTTAAACCTTCTTCTGCTAGACAGCTAAAGGATCAATTTTGGTTTCTCCTATCAACAACCTTTACATTAATCAAGCCAACAATGTGCCCACAATGTTTTTATACAGAGTTGCCTATATTTGGACCTAATCACAAAAAAGGAAGAAAGCAGGGGATGCATATAGCTAAACGTGGGTTGATACGTGTCGATGCAGTAACGTTCATCTGCTAGACCAGCTTAAGGATCAATTTTGGTTTCTGCTATCAGCACCTTTACATCAATCAAGCAAACAATGTGCCCTCAATGTTCTTTTAGCCAGAGTCGCCTATATTTGTCCCTAACCTCAAAAAAAAAAAAACCAAAAAAGAAAAAAGAAAGGCAGGGGAAGAATATAGCTGAGGCCAAAGTTGATATGTGTCGATGCTATAACACAATATTCAGCATCTGTTTCACTTGAGGGGGAGTTACAATGTACCAGCCAGTCTGCCTTTGATGTTTCTTGCATAATCACTGGACAGCTTCGCATTAGTCAATCAGTGACAACATTGAGTGGTTCATTAGCGGATTCTGGAGCCTCTTTACACTCTAATGAATTCAGCTGGTAGCCTGTAAGACATTTGATTTCCTCTTCATTGGAGATATTATTGATAAGTTCGTGTAGGATCGTTGCGAGTTCTTCCCAATTGCTCCATTTATGAACTTTTGCTTTGACAAGTGTAGGATTGTTCAAAATACAATCAAACAGAGGGAAGTTCATTCTTGGCATCACAAAATCTCCTGCTTCAAGTTTCAGAGTTGGGCAGAAATCGTTTCTCCCATCTCCGACATAAATTAATCTTTTCCTTTGACTTTCAGAAATTGAGGATTGGATCTGCTCTATCACACTCCCCTATATTGGAAAACAAGGTAAGATAAAATCAAGACTCGAAATTAAAATTGAAGGCTTACCAGATGCATGATGTAACACAAGCAAATTAATAAGTTTAGCCACTACACTCAACAATTATTAAGGGATGGCGTAATATGAACAATCTGGCCTCTTCAAGTTTTTTCTAAGTAACTCAGAGCAAATTTTAGCGTGATGATTGACGGTGTGCAGCTAATATAACTGCAAAACTTCTTCTTCACATAAAAAATTTGTTACTCAATCCACAGCACTTTAGCCAATCTGAAGACTAAAAAGCAGCAAATTTAAGACAGTGAGGTGCATGGTATTCTTGGCAAACACAAAAATGTCAATTGTTACAGCTTGCTAATTATGTATTGAAATACGAAACAAAGACAAAATAATGAAAAATCACTTTATAGTCTTCTCCTCATTGATATTGTACACAACCCAAAAGTAATAAAATGATTTTCCAATTAAATAATGATTTGAAATTTTGATAATTGAAATTGATAAAGATAGATTGCATGAGTTAAAGGCTTAAAGCATAGTATTTAGTTGACTAAAGATGGAAAATTGGTTAAGGCATATATGGAGAAGTTAACATTTAAAAATTCACACACAGAGGGAAAAACATCAAGTACAACAGACGAGCTCCGTCAATCAGGGTTACTGATATAATTTCAAGTTTCAACAAGTTCTGCTAATAGCTAGTGTAATGATATCCTTACCAATCATCAAAAAGACTACTACCAGTTGACTGAGATCAACACACCAAGATAGAGTTGGATATTTCTGGTGTCTACAAAAAAAAAAACACCAAAATGAGAATACCTTGCACAAGTTAGGAGGGCAGTGATCGCAGCTATGAGGAGAAGCCATGTCATGATAAGGAAAGATCCTAAGCCTGCCCCTATCGTCTACGACAGTTGGGTTTGTGATGATTTCCGAGAAACAATTATATATTCCATAATGTTCCAAAATAGTTCTGATATAAAACGCATTGGAGTCACTAACCACCTTCAGGTCACATCTGAAACAACCACATTATATTTCATAGCATTTTTCTAAAAACAACAAAAAAATCTAAATACAGTAAGAGTGACAATAAGGCCATTATACCCAAGAGCATGAGCTGTTTTAGTTACTTCAATCATCCGTGTATGCAGCGGAACCTGCTGCAAACACACTGCAATATCATTAACTGTTTTCCCTTGTAAATGTAACTCCTCCAGCATACGATCCTACAAAACAAGTGAATTAATATACAGTGTAATTATACATTAAGAAACTGCAGATCTAAAATCTCATTTTTAATCAATTATTTCTACATTTAATAGAACTTTAGGTAAAAAAAAGAAAAATTGCAAACTAACCAAAACAAGACAACAACAACTTTGGGTGCTTAGATTTCATCTATATGCGTAGTTACAGAAAAGCATTAAGAAGGATAATATTTTTGTAGCAGAATCAATATTAAGAACGTAATATCAAAATAGTTAATTATCAATCTGTATTCCACTCATAAACAAAAAAGTTAAGTCCCATATTTACATATATAATTAATGAAAGCAGAGCAGTTAAGCAACGCAGACCATGAGAGAGTTCCAGGGTAATGTAGATTGGAGCTGATAGAACGGATTGGTGAGACCCATATTTGTCAAGACCCATCTATCGCTATCATCTTCGATCAGCGTCCGATCAAAGTCCAATATTATCAAGATTTTTCCGGCCATCTTCTGTGGTGGCCACCGCTGGAGTAGACACAAAATGATTCATTCCAAGTAATTTTTAGGGTTATTGACCACCAAATTTTCAGAATATTTAATTTTATTTACCAAAATTAAAAGCATGTTTCATTCCAATTTTATTATTTTATTATTTTTAATTTTTAATTTTTCGGATTTCATTTAAAAGGTTTGGTCAAACCAAATATTTGTTTAAAAAATCAAACATCCAAATATGGAAAATACAATTTGTAAATGATTAAAATATGCTTGTATATAAAATGACATTATTACCGTAAATCCCATTTCAATTTCCATTTAACCATAATTGAATTCTACCTTCCATTTCTTCTACAAGTATGCAACCCATTTTTATTTTCTTATCATCATTTTCTCTACATAATTAAACCTTAGGCTCTATATTTTCATTCCTATGAACACTCATTTGGTTGAAATCGATAATAAAATCTTGTAACATTCTTATCGGGCATTTGGAGAAGAAGATAGTGTATTGTAAATTTTCAATATTTTGGTTCTTTTCTTTATCCATTTTTTTGAATAATTTCTTCATATTTTTATGTATATGTTTATGGTGTTCATTTGTCAACAATGATTTTGAATTCATTTTATTATTAGATTAGAGATTTGATATGGGTTACTTCACAACATTTTTCTCACTGTCCCTTATTTGTATTAATTGGAGTGAAATGTAAGTTGGCTATTCTTTTCATTGTTCTACTGTAAAACATATATTTGATTTTCTTCTGTACATAACGACTTGAATATCGTTTTCTGCCATCCATAATGATATACATATCGTTATTAGTACTGTACGATTTTTGAGATTTGATGAAATTTTTATGTTGAATTACAGTTATGGACAACACGTAGTTGTGTTGTCAGTAATAAGGTAGCGGCGCCTTTCGTCTAGCCATGGTCAGGCTCTGACAAGACCTGCATGCAAGACATAGATCGCAGACATGGTATGAATATCAGTTTGTTATCCAATTGAATACGAGCAGTCAGTTGAAGATGCATGAAATGGAAATATGCAAGGAATGACAAATGAAAAACAATGTATATTCTTGTTGCGAAAATAATTTCTTATGTGGAATTGTATGATAAAGTCAAAGAGGTGTTGAATGTCGATACAAGCCTGTACAAAATAGAGATTTCAACTCTTGTCCCTATAATATCTAAAGCTCCAACTGCTCCGACCATCATTGATTGTGACAAAAATGTGAGTGGTTTGTATCTGTCTATAGAGAAACTTTTGTTTGTGTAACCATTTCGAATGAAGTTGTTGAAAATCAAGAAGAGTTTGGTGATGAAGGACATTTATTACTAATAGACAGTGGAGAACAAATTGCAAATATGAATAACGAAGAGGAATATGTTCGAACGGACAACGATGGTAACCATGACAATGGTTATGTTTGTAGATTGTAATGATTTTGACATAAATAAAGATAGTCCCCGGAGAGTAGACGACGAAGATAATTCTCCTGTACCAGACGACAATGATGTGGAACTACACATGGATGAACCATGTAGTCATATTGTATCTGCAAGTGTAAGTTCGCTCTGTTGTGGAACATCAATAAGAATTTCGAAAAATGAAGATGTACAAGTCATCCAATTGTTTCCATCAAAATGTGATCTAATATCTAAATTGCAGTTGTTGGCTGTGAAGTGTCACTTTGAATACAAAGTTAAGAAGTCAAATAAGAACACTTATACAATTATTTGTATTGAAAAAAATTGCAAATGGCGCTTGCTTGCAACCAAGTATGTAGAAAGTCATATTTTCGAAGTTCGAACGTACAATGGGCGTCACTCTTGCTCCATGAGCGTTCGTCGCAGAGACCATTGGCATGCTTCCTATATTATTATTGGAAACATCGCCCCTAAGTATCAAGAGGCCAACCGAGTTTACAGACCAAGGGACATTATTGATGACATTCGTCAAGGGTTCGACATAACTGTAAGCTATACTAAAGCGTATATGGATAAACATTTTCCTTGCGGACTGATTCTTCCCATGAGAGTTATGCGAAATTGGAAGCATATTGTCATGTTTGGAGATGCAAAATCCTGGTACGCTGACATTCATTCGTACTACAAATTATCGACGTTTTAAGTACTTTTTTTAGTCTTGGGGCAAAGTATACATGGATTCATCAACTTAATGCGAAGGGTAATTTCTGTAGATGGTACATTCTTGACATCGAGAATGAAAGGTACTCTACTTGTAACAACTTGTCAGGATGCAAATTTTCAAATATTTTCACTTGCATGAGAATGATGAATCCTGGACTTGGTTCTTTCAGAAATTGCGATTAATAATAGGTGATACGGATGAACTTGTGATTATATCTAACCATGCAACTTGTATTAAAAAGGAGTTAGAAATGTTTTTCAGTTTGCTCATTACGGTAATTGAACATATCACCTGCAAAAGAGTGAAGACAAATTTTCCATAGAGTAATCTTGCAACTTTATTTAGGACAGCATTATTAACAGAATTTGAGTCCAACATGGCAACTCTATGCAGCAAAAAGAAGGGCGTCAAAGAATACATATTAGAAGAAGATTTCTATTATTAGGCTAGAGCACATCATACTGGGATACATTACAATATCATGATTACGAATAATGCGAAATCTCTAAATGGTTTGTTGAAGAGTGTTCGAAAATTTTCCATAGTTGATTTGATTGAATATATCTAATAGACACTGCAAATGTGATTTTATGAAAGACGTGTTGAAGCTGAAAAATGTGTAACCCACCTCACGCCACATTTAAAGAAAAATATGTGCATGAAATATAATGAGTCAAATGGGTTGGAGGTAAATTAGGTATCTCCGAACATTTATCAAGTTGGTGACAATTTAGAATAACACTTTGTGGACTTGGATGAAAAGGCCTATACGTGTAGGAAATTTGATTTGGACAAGCTTCCATGTGCGTATATAATTGCTACTGTAAGGTTTAAATGAGATGACGGCTATAACCTATGTAGCCCTTTTTATACTAATATTTGTTGGAAGCAAACATAATCTGCATTCGTATACCCTTTGCCAAATGAGGCTAGAGAAGTATTTCCACCATTGGCATGAAGACAGGGTGGACGACCGACAAAAAAGAAAAGGAAAATATCAACTTGAGAGACGCGTACGTCTCGTAAGTGCAGTAGGTGCAAGAAAACTGGTCATGTTCGATCCATTTGCACGGGCCAAACAGCTGGTATTGAAACTCAATGTTGTAATATTGTCGTGACTTGTAACTTTATAATTTTGTACTCATTCGAAGTACAAAATGATTTGTTAGATTTTGTAATCATTGTGCCATTAAAACGCTTTTGTACTATTGTAATGGACTTAAAGTCATTTTACAATTTTGTATTTATTTTTTTCCTAGATTAAAGGAAAATGACGTTCATATCATTACAATAGATGTAAATGTCGTTCCATTACAAAAATGCACCGATTCGAAAATGACAGTGAAATCGTTCATAAGACACAAAACGATATAGAAGTTGTTTCAATAAGAACATTGCATTGATTAATGTAACGATATTGAAATCCTTCTTTGAAACACAAAACGATTTATATATCGTTTTAGTATCAAATACACACTATTTCACTAATTTTCACAACGACATTAAGTCATGATGAATGTAAATAACGACATAAAATTCGTTTTACCAACACGGCGAGCGCCCAGCATGAGCTAAGGCGCGCACCAGCTGTAAATGGTTACTCTCAGTACCTCTCATTAGCTGGTCAGGTGTGCACTAGCTCTACAGTGTTAGGTGCGCGCTTGGCTAACATTTTCTTTTGTTTCAATTTAGTCCTCGAAGTAATTGCAGCTCAGATCCTTCCACTTTCATCTTATATGTCTTTGAATTTGAAATTTCCTTTGAATCATGCCCTCTATAAGCTACAACGACATAGATATCATTTCTTTTCATTAAAAATGACATTGTACTCTGTTCAGTTAAAATCGTAACTAAACGACATTGATATCATTTCTTTTCATATAAAATGACAATGATATTATTGTAGTGTCAAACCCACTAAATAATGTAACGACATCCATATCGTTTCAAAACAAATTTGATGAGTTTGAACTTGTTTCAGTTGAAAATGTAATTAAAACAAAATAGATGTCATTTTGTTTCATATCAAACGACAATGATATCGTTATAGTGTTAAACCTCCGAAATAACGTAATGACATCCATATTGTTTCAGTACAAATTTGACAAGTTTGAATCGTTGCAGTTAAAATCGTAACTAAAACGACTTAGATCTTGTTTCTTTTCACATAAACGACAATTATATCATTATAGTGTCAAACACACGAAATAACATAACGACATCCGTATCGTTTCAGTACAAATTTAATGAGTTTGAATTCATTACAATACAAATAATAACTACAATGATTTGATGTCGTTTCTTTTCATGTAAAATGACAACTATATCGTTATGCTTAAAAAGACGATCCAACCTTCTACGGTCACCCGACATACATCCATCGTACGTAAAACAATAAAAATAGATCATCAAGCGAGTTCGATCTCGCTCAACAAAAATAATGAGAACATTAGTGTTCCATAGTTGTATACCACCTTTGAGTTGTTTCAATAGAAAGAAAGTATCTTCATTCGTTCTTCCTGAGCCATTCGAGTGATATCAATCCACTTGATGCCCTTTTTCGATCATTATGCATATATCAGAGGTACGTCGAATGATCGTAGATGGTCGAATTGTTGTTATTAAGCATAACATATAATTCTCATTTTTTATGTAAAGAAACGATATCAATGTCGTTGTAGTTATTATTTGAACTGTAATGATTTCGAACTCATCAAATTTGTAGTGAAACGATATAGATGTCGTTACGTTATTTCATGTATTTGACACTACAACGATATCATTGTCGTTTTATATTAAAAAAACATCTAAGCCGTTTTGGTTACGATTTGAACCGAAACGATTTCAA